CTTCCTGTACTATCGAGAAATCATCAATATTACAAAAATTTAAGTTGTTTTCTTTTTAATGACACCTTGCTTTTGTTTATTTGAGTTGTTAAATTTCATACAACAACACTCGACATTGAAGAAATGTCGATCTCGGTTCTTGGATCCCACACCATCATTGGGACTCGAGTTACATCAATTACATGACTCGGCAACTCGGTCTCACATGAAATGTTCAAAATTTTGACCGACTCCAAAGCCGAGAACCACTTTTCAACCGACTCTCTGGGCTGTCTGAAATTCTCAACTCGTTCTTCATCAATCTTTAAGAAAGACCTATCAACAAGAGGTTCCTTCTTCTTCTTCTTTTTCTCAGAAATACCGGCATCATGCTTATTCTTTCATCGTTCTTCAGCAGCAACATGAACGACCTCAGCACGTCTTTTCCTTCGCCTTGTAAAAGGAGCTTCTTCTTCTTCTACCATATTTTGATCGACCTTGGCTTCATCAGAGACCACTTCAATAACTGGTTGAATCTCTATCTGAACAACCACTAAAGCTGGTTCGAATTTAATTTGATTAATGACTGCAGTAGTTATGGCCACAATTGGACCCGTAGCTGCTACAACTAAAGGATTCGGCAGCACAATTTCCATTGCAGCTCCCGACGTTGCACCATCTCCGACGTCGGCATCCTTATTCATAATCAGATTCACCAGAAAAGACTTCACCAATTTCTTGCGACCCATCTAGGATAGACGCTGCATTTTGCTTTTTCCGACTTTAGTTCGGAGATCGATATTTGGAGATTTCTGACGAAAAACTTTAGCGTCTCTCACGATTTTGAATCCGAGCACTCCAAGAAGTGGGTAATACACTGCATTCAGATAAAATAGCTTGAGTCATGATCATCATTATAATTATCCGACTTCATAAAAGAGAATTGAAAATTACGAATATACCTGGAGCAAAATAAGGATCAGAAATGCTAGAACAAAGACCAACAGCTTCTAGTTTCGAATTCTTCAGAACGAGTTTGAAGCCGCGTTACTCTTTCTTTAATTTGAATAGCTCGGTAATTCTGCCTTTTAACTCCTCGATGAGTTTTGGCTCCTTTGTCCTACGGGCTGCAAACAGTAAAAGTCTCGACCAGTGAGTACAAAAATAAATTAAAGTCAGATCAACTCGGCGAAAGAAACACGAAAGACTTACAATATTCAGAATTAACTTCAATGGGGATGGATATCCCATTTATTAAAGGTTTAGAAAAATTCGAAGTTTGCCAATCTCCACCGACCCACAACCATTACTCCTGAAAACCATGAAGGGAATCTGGAATCTCGGTGATTAAATCACTGACTTTTAATCCACCTTGAGGTCTCTCAGAACTTGAAAAGCAAATCAAAGGATCTGCCACCTGTCTGTCAGCACATCTCTTGAAAGTAAAGAGACTCCTTATCTCTTCAACAGTCGGCATATCCCACTTATTCTCCTTTAAAAGGAACATAAGACGTATGATCTTTTTCCAACTATTTGATGCAATTTGGCATAAACCGAGACCCCAATCTCGCAAGTAGTCGGTAATTAAGGCAGGGAGTGGAAACCTTAACCCCGATCTCAAAGAATCGGCTAATACACCAATGCATCCTGACGGAGGACATGTAATTCTTTCCCTCGGGTAAGAGGCAAATAATCTTACTGTCGAAGGAATTTGAACTTTCACTCGAAGAAGTACGACATCGGCATCAGTCAGGATACTCGGTTCGTCTCGATTTTTATCAATAGCTTCAGACCACCGACGTGTCGGACGTCTCCAATACTCCGCAAGAGACATAGCGTTATCCTCAACTATCTTATCTTCTTCAACTATGTCCCGATTTAAATTGAGTCTTTCGACAAGCAGAGGATCCCACCGATAATATTCAAGAGCAATTCCAAATCCTCATCGGTGAAGATTTTAACCTCTAAAATTGTACGGCTGCTACTAGCTTCGGCTTGAGATACCATTTTTACGCGATTGATAAAAAGAAGAAAAGAAATTGCAATCGACACAAATAGAGAACCGAAAATTAGGCAAAAATCTTATCGAGTACTATAGTGCCCTAAACTCACGAGGATGAGAAATTAGTCGCAAAGATGATTATTGGAAGCAAATTCAAGGAATTCAAGAACAAGATGGAGAAGAAGATGAAGAATTTAGCAATTAAAAGTGAAAAACCCTTCACAATTGAGACCAACTCAAATTTATAATCCACTGATTATAACCGTTGAGCAATTAGAATCGGCGCGTGTAACGGACGTGTCCTCATACGGCCTGACGTTACAATAATCATTAATACACGTGGGCTAGTCTTAAGACACCAAGTCACCCTATTTTTCTATCCGTTGCACCAATTAAATGCAGACACGTCTTTTGAAAATTACCACGTCTGCAGAGCCGTTTTATGGTATTCATCCTTCATTAATAAAAGATCAACGACACCAAGTGTTCGTATCTCGGTTACAAAAAAGATGTCGGTCATTATAAAGCATGTCGGAAAAGAATCAAGTCAGATTTACAAGTAATATTGGCGACATCAGCAGCCATTCTACTTCAAAATATCTACTAATGTCGGGGGCCTCTCTATTGATAACCGACTTGATTTTCAAATTTATTTTCAGTGGCTAACGTAGCCCAGCTCGGTGCAAGTAAACGACAACCGACTTGAGCAACTGAATAATAACCGACTTCATACAAAAGACAACAAAACCAACTTCGCGAACATTCCTAGCTAAATATTATCAGCTTAAACCGAGATTCGAGATAATTAGATTCCAAAGCAGGTGACGCAGCATACTTCTGATTAGGCCACCTAGCCAAAACATAATCATTGTTGTGTCCTCATTGCCATACAAACTGCTTAATTGAAGCAGCTCAACATTAAATGCGATCTAATCTACCTCGGACGAAAAGTCAAGCCCACCGTATTATAAATAGCAGAATTTATGATTGTACGGGGATCCTTTTTTACGCACATTGTACATGGATTCACAAAACACCTCGGTTATATATAAAAATAGACTTCCTGTACTATTAAGAAATCATCAATAATACAAAAATTTAAGTTGTTTTCCTTTTAATGACACCTTGCTTTTGTTTATTTGAGTTGTTAAATTTCATACAATAACAGTGTCATCTTAGACCCATTATTGAAGTCACATACCTCCAAATAATGCTAACCTTAGCACTTCATATCCAGTCTTAGTATATGCTATGAAATTTAATTTAATATTTCTTCTCGGAGCAACTTGGTAGGTATGTGCATGCAAATGGCTGAAACTTTTTTAATGACAAATATTTCATTATGACGTCTCACCTAATGAACATTTATGCCCAATTACTATTATCCTCACTAATGATATATCATTATATTTTGATATCACTTAGCCATATCTTTCTTTATTTTCATCTATAAAAACTTAGAAAAACATCTATTTTGATAGCACAAAATACAGTTGCAACATCTTTCTCTACAAGGCTACAACCGAGGTTTTGTCTTCCATTTATTTTCTAAGTCTTGAAGAAGGTAAGAAGACATTTTTTTAACATGCTTTATAGATAATTTAAATAGCCTTAATATGTGTTATAATGTGCTAAAGTTCCAGCCTTTAAGTATTTATAATCATGTGAAGAAGTAAGAAGTTATGCAAGCTCGCATGCATGATTGTTATGTGCTGTTTGATTTCGAATTTAAGCATGCTATATATAACCTGGTATGTTAAGCTTATTATGACTATTTCTTGTGTAAGTGATGAGTATATAGGTGAAAGAATCGTGTCATTTGGTTAAGTATAGCTCAAGGTATAGATTTTTAAAATTTATCATGCAAATCGAGTTTTTATACCAAGTTTCAAGCCTTAAATAGTTAATGAAATACTATCCATTAACTATGACATTTCAAACTATGTTTTATCTTAATTTGTTTCAGGTGATTATATAAAAGGAGTTAAATATAATTATTAACAGAACTCAAGTCCAATTTGGTGTATTAAAGTATATTTTTTGTACATTTTAATTGAATTTAATTAAATTTATTATTTTAACTTTTAAGATAATTCATTTTTCAATGGTTGTTAAGTTATACTTATTTCCTGTTCATTATAATAAATGTATCCATAATAATAAATGTACATAATAATATTACTTCTACGTAACAACCACAAAATTGTTTACCCAGTAATGTGGCGTGAAATTTATAACTGCTTTTTCTTCTACCCACCGAAAGAATTATCGAGTAGTGTAGAGTGACATTTTTATTTGTTACTTGTAGTCATTAAAATGTTAACTAAGTAACCCGTAAATATTTTAAGTTCATATGCATGATTAATTCAATTTTCATAAATGATATAATTAACAAATGTTATATCAATATTGTTTTTTTATAAAAAAGAAAAAAAAAAATTCCAAAGGCTACTTAACGGCTCTTTTTTAACAGCTATTTATCAATTTATATATATAACACTTCACTCCATACATTAACAATCATTCCAAAATATTACAATATATTCTCATCTAGAAAAAAAAAAAAATGTTTGATCCATTGTTTATAATTACCATTATAATGGTTCTTATATACACTTTAGGAATTTTCACGATGTTGTATCATACTGCTGAATTTATATTTTATATATTAGGTCTTTTTCTAATGTGTTTCTTATTAGCTGTTCTGATCGGTTTGAATAATGTATGATTGTATTTGTAATTTTCTTAAATCTAAGCATTGATGTTATATTTATTTGTCATTGTCTTGTACAATAAAAAAGCCTTTATTTTTCCTTACTATTGCTACATCATTTGATCTTATTTTAACTTAACAGATGCTCATTAAACATCTCATCTATCACCTTCTCAAATTATCGAGAAACAAGATAAAAAATCACAAATAGCTCATATCTCTCTCAAATTTTTTTATTTTTTTTCTTTTAAAACGGAATTTTCAACCACGATTTGTTGAGAACACTTTATGAAAAAGGCATTACTCATGGGCCGGCTATGGTCCCACAGCCGTTACCATCCTGGTTATGTAAGAAAAAGCAGTGCAAGCACTATTCATTTCTTTAATATTTTATTGAACTTCATTGGCCTCGTGTTGACACGTGTATGATTTTGTAGTAAAATGCCAAGTTTGCCCTTGAATTTTTAGTTCTTTTTATTCTTCTTATTCAAAAGACTGGAATGCCCATTCTTTTTTGTATTAAAGATACTATTTGGTTGATTTTTTGGAAACTCTGTATTTGTCACCAAAACATACGGGTTCGGAGGCTGCTGTGAGTCACTTACAGCAGCCCCAACAGTTACCTTAGACCCTTGGATTAAGTATAATTAAAAATACATCCAAGGGTCAAAAATCATCTAAGATAATAAAAAAACCACCAATGCTCCCGTACTCTCCTCCTCCTTGAATATGTCAATTTTCATTTCATTCAAGAGAAGTCTCCAGAAAATGCACCATTTGATTTTCAGATTGCAAATATATTGAATGGTCATCACTCATTACTCCTTCATTCAAGATCTTTTTCAGAATGTGCACCATTTGGAGCAAAATTAGCTAGACCCGACTATCCTAGTTGCGGTCAGGAGAAAAATACGCGGCCGACGAGGTTGATTTCTTCGGCGGTCGGGAGGAGATTCTCGCAGTTTCGGAGGACGGTTATGGAATTTGGGGTGCTCGGGAGGACGATTTCTCAGAGAAAGGTTTTGGTTTTTTACTCGAGATTCTTCTCCGAGAAATCGTCGGTCATTTCGAGAAAGTGAGCCACGCAGTGGAGGGTGGCCACGTTCGAGGCCGTGAGCTCGATTCTGAAGCTGTAGCTGAATTTCGCAGCGAGCTCAAACACGTGGGGGCCCGCTGGGGAGTGAGGATAGGTTGAACTGGGTCGTTTTTGAGTCGGTTAGAAGCTTCAGGATTCGGCCGTTACGCAAGACGAGGGAGAACTGTGCCGGATAGATAGATGTTCGATCATGAGGAATTAAATCGAGAATTTTCGAAAAAACTAGAATAGATGATTTTTGTAGGGTTCTAGCAGTTAATATTGTAGTATCAAGATCAGGACAAAACAAAAAAATGTTGTCAACAATCAACCAGACAGAAGTTTTCAATGATGCAGACTTAGATTTGATTGAATGTCTTTAAATGCAAACATGTGCATTTGTCTTGAAAATTTGACACATTTAATGTAATTGGGGCCAATAATTCTTGATTCTTATTGTATTCTTGAGCTTCCAGCCAAACAGAACAAAACAAGCACATGTTCTTTATATTAAACAGACATATGACTAAAAGTTTAAGTTTTCTTTACATTGTGATACAATGAATGGTCTTGGTCATTTTAGCCTTTAGACAATCCCAACCGTACTTTTTCGCTGGTTAATCGTCTTGTGTTTAGATAAGTTTGGATAAGTGTTCGTGTTTTCTTGTTTCGAGTAAAAGTTCTCGGCTCCAAAATGCAAGTGTATGACGAAAATGGCAGAGTTTTCTTTCATTCGGTTCTTTCCTTTTTCGATTTTCTACGATTCGTTGATTACCCGTTTTCATTCCAACTCGTTCATTT